AACGTCCTGCTCAGTTGTGCTGCTGCTGCTGCTCCCGTTTCTGTTACTATTACTGCTGTTGTCAGCAGTGTTGCTATGATTGCTACTGTCTTTGGCGGATCCCCGTCCAATCGACCCAGACTCCGATTCCGAAATCGACCCGTCAACGGTGGTGGCGTCGGGCGCGTGCGACGCGGCGTTGGACTCCTCGTTCGCCTGATCGCTGCCTTTTGAAGAAGCAGAAGAGGACTCGCTGTCCGGAAGATCGCTTGTTCTGCCTTCTGCAACTCTCTTTTCAAACTGTCTACGGTACTTGCCGCTGCTGCTTTTCTGGTTGGTGTCTTCTTGCTCTTCCTCTGCTGCTTGGCCTGAAGCGGCCGCGCTACTCGATGAAGTGGCACTGTTGTCATATCCTTCTGCTGGTGCTTCGGTTTGTGGTGCTGCAACATCCTCTGCTTGCTCAGACTGGTGCCCTGCAGCCTGATCGAGGACTGGGATACTAACGAAGTCCCCAGGCACGCCCTCGTGCTTCAGGTCCTCCGCCTCCGTTGGTTCGTCCCCTGGATTCAACGGATTCCATGTCCACATAGAGGGTCGGCCGCGTGTGGTTGCCGGCGCTTCTGTGTTCTCATCCAGCATCGACCCCTGCCCGCTGTTCGTTTCCTCCACAGCATCGAATCGATGCACGCCGACATCCTGTGTCCTATCCCTAGATACAGGAGGTTTCTCACCTTCCGAATCAACAGAGGAAACGCCAGATGAAAGAGTAGCGGACGTAGCAGAGGTAGCGGACCCAGAAGCAACGACAAAAGCAGCATCGGCGGGCGTAGCAGTTTCTGAAACGACGGGTGACCCGGAGTTCGAATGTAGCTCCCTATGCTGCCCTTGAACAGCTGATTTAGGGGTTGCATCATCACCTTGGGAGACAGCCAGAATTTGGGTTTTCTCTCCCAAAGACCCGTCGCTGAAGCGTTGCTCCGGCGCCGGCTTCCGGGTCATAAGAGGATCGGAGCCGAAGGGCTCAGCGTTCCTATCATCCGCAAGAGATGAGAAGACAGCTCTGTCCATCAGAGCGGCTTGGGGGGTATCGGGAGCCCCATTTCGAGAAAAGCCCGAAACTGACTGTGCACACTGGCCTGTAAGAAAGGGGAGAGCAGCGCCTATGAAACAGAAAGCCGCCCGTGGCTGT